TGACGCAATATCACTCACCTTTCACCAACGCTTTCTTTATCGTCGTAATTTGCGTAAATGCTGGAATCGTAACGGTGATTTAGATGCCGTATCCATCCCTGCCGATCCGAATTAGGAATTCACAGATTCAAGCCCTTCGTGCTATGCGGACATTCGGTCTCACGTAGTTAGACTTGTTTCATGTGTGCATTACACAATTTTGTTCATATCTTTCCCATCGATATTCTCACCAAACTCCTCGACACCCACCAATACGGTGTAGGGTCTGAGGACGCGCGCAGACAGTGACCGCAACTTGTGTGAGTAGTAAGGCCAGGAGCCCCTAGTAGTTGCGACCCAGATTTTAACCCAAACGAGTGCTTGTCTCTCCACATGATTTTAACGCACTTTAGCGTATATCAGTTACATTACAGAACTGAGACCTGCATCCACAAGCCCCCACAGGCTTTCCACAGGCGTTGAAACAGAGTTGGATGTCAAGATGTTCTCACATGCTTCAGGCGACGTGAACCCCGGTGCTTCGAGATGTTTGTATCCCAAAGACTCGGCGAAAACTAATCGTTTGGGTGAGGTCCATAACAATACCCTGGTCTTCACACCACATTGTGGATACATGGCCTAATCTTTAGAATCAGTATCAAAGGATCCTCCGTTTTTCATCCCACGGGTTGAGCCTCTTCACTAGTTCAAAGGACCACAACAGTCGAATCTGAATGGAGTCGTGACACCTTAAGCCTTAATCAAACAAACTCCAATTTCAGATCTTCCACAGTACACACTTCCTCTGGCTCGTATCTCTTATAAATCCTGTCCCGCCACGTTTATCCGCCTGCCAAAGGGAGAACAACACCGGCCTGGCTGGCAGTGCGGCCAGCGCACGAAGGCCCCATCTCTCCCGGAAATGCGGCACCATGATTTCAATCTTCCTACAAGTAGCAATCAAACATCAAACATCCAATATCATCCAATTCCACACTTGCTCAAAAAGAACCAAAACCCGAGACAAACTCGATCACACTCGGCAGGCAAGCAGGCTACTCACTCCACAATTGGTACGCTTATGCACTGGGCTGTCTTGCGTGGGATCCTTTTTCGCCCGTACCTGGTAGGCGACAAGCGCAGTCGTCACCTCAGAGACATGTGCAGGTAGACAGATTTCAAGAGTCTGGACTTTGCACCCCCGCAGAAGTGAATCAGGAGAAGCAGCAGCATGCACACCGGACAAATCACTGCAACATCGCTGGGCACCGCCATTTAGCTATATCATATATCTCCTGACCACTGATGCAAGCCTGCTGACATAGCATCAAACAGTGTCAGGGCCAAAATTGAAAAATGTTGAAAGGCTCAGGAATCCTGAAGGTAGGCTGGTAGACTTTCAACGAAACAAACCGGACAAGTACACAAAAGTCTACTCAATTCATTTCAATTCATTGAAGTGAACCACGAATCCTCCAAAGGACTTTCAAAGGACCGGACCTGTCGCTATTAGGTTGGAGGCCATCGCTATTGTACAGGAACAAAGAAAAAGACAAGGAAGAAAGGTCTAATATAGAGGTCCAACCGAGGACTCCACAGTGTAGGCGGCCACTCCACGGACCACTCCATCCGAGAGCATCGAACGAAACGCCAAAAGGAACTCCTCGAAAGCCGACTGGATTCACAGAATGCATGAATGTCTGATGTCTGTTGGGGGTTTTCCTACATTTGCCCGCCTCACTCAAGGATAACAGAACACTTGGATTAGATTCCCGCAAATAATTGGGAAAGAACATCCATGGGAATCTGATGGAAACAATTCTACCACACTGCAATCTGGATTGTGCGTGATACCATTAAGCACCCAGAAAGAGATGGACTGGAGATAAGAAACTAACGAGAGGGTATGGTCATAATCGAACCTGGTGGACTTTTCCAAGAACGAGGTCAATGCATATATATAACGCCGCCAAACTTTGGGCCTGCTTACAGATTCTAGCCTAAATCAAGCCAAGTTAAAGCCATACTACCGGGACACATGTTTGAGGTGCTAGCCTTCACATTTGCGTGGTAACAGAAGCCCCAAGTTCCAGACCTTGTCAAACATGTTGAGTCATTGAGTGGAGCTCTGTCTGTGGATCCATCCCAACGTGATCCAACGTGCACCAAAGGTGGTCTACAGCGCTGGCCAGGAGTTTGTAATATAATATAGTTCGTGCAGGTGCTCTACTTCCTTTCAGACTTAGAATATCTAAAACCATTGACCTTCCGTTGCCTTCGGTCTCCCCGCCCACCACTTCCATGCGCACAGTCTCCTGGGCCTCGGCAGTCTCACAGTGGCGCACCGTAGAGTCCTCCAAGGAGTGAGCAGCAGAGCGTAGCAACCCAAATCCCAGTGGCTCACAAGGATGGCAAGAACAATTTGCATGTGTTTTGTCTTCAAACATAGTATCGGTCATGCTACCGCGAACAAACAGTACTTTCTGTAAACAACAGTCTCTTCCTAGTGGAACAACGGCGGGTCAAAGTAAAGGGTCCAATTTGCCCAGCAACTATCGGACCGGTCGGTTATCCTCTTTAAGCTAATATTTTTGAAGAGTTTCCTGATGTGAACATTCACAGCATGCGGTGGCCGATGATCTCTGCATGAACACCTCCTCTTGGCCCGGCTGAGGTTCTTCGTTCACGGCAAGCTCCCACTCCCCGCAAGAATCTTTTGCTAGACGACCAACATCAAACAATCAGGCATTATTGATAATCTTTTCCTGGACAAACACACACACACACAGCATTCATCAGCATACCCGAATCCATTCACACGGACACTGGTCTCCTCTTGCTTGGTACAACCGGGAGCTGCAAAAAGGGGATTTGCAATGGCCACGTAGAGCTGGGGTGTCCTGACCAAAAATTCAAACTTGAAGAGCTCGCAGCGCATCACCAGAGAGCTAGGATAACGGTTGGAATCGTGCCCAGGCCGATAAAAAACCATCATATCTATATTCAATGTCACACATAGTACATGAAAAACTTTATTTGTTGGCTTTTGTTGTTTGTATACACTTGTGATGCAATTTGGTTTGGGCAAAGCATCTTGCCGAGATCCACCATGGTCCAACGATGTCCAACGTGTGTGTAATCTTTCTCAAGGTCACATGTCACATATCCTGTGTTCTTATGTTTATATGTTTCTTGAGTTTGGAGAAAAAGGGGTGGAAAGAAGTGGAAGAAGAGTGAAGCAAAGAAAAAAGCGGATGCCCGTCCACAGTTTGGCACAGTGGTGGAGGCTGCCATGTGTGTGTGTGTGTGTTTGTGTGCTATGAGGTCGTTATGCGGGGCTACTATTCCATTGTGAAAGAGACCGCAGAGGCTATCTACTTTTTAAAGGTGCCACGGAGGCGGTGTCCGTGTGTGAGCAACCCATGGACTCACTGGGAGCCTGTTGGCGTCTGTTGATACTTAGCAGGGGGGCAGAGCTCTCGGATACTACTCTGTCCAATGCACCTGCGTTTTACTCTACAGAGCGATTCTTATGTCTCGCTCATAAGTTCGTTGGAAGACTTGTCTGTCGGTTCTCTTTCCTTGCACCACTGCTATGAGCGATTAGAACAGGAGGCTTTCACAATGGGCGCTTCCCACACTGACAAACATGGTGCGCAATTTAATTTTTACACATGGCAGAATGGAACATTTTTTGAATGAGAGACAGGCGGGTTTTGCTGAATATCTCCTAGAATGAACCAAACCGCTGTCAACTACCGGAGCATATTTGGATATGATATGGTGTCGATGTTGTACAATTCAAAAGTCAGTCGGGATAATGTACCTTTTCCTATTCTTTGTGTACGTTCAAGAAACACAAGCACATGCTGGCCTCGCCTCTCAAAAAGCAATGTTAGTAATTGGTAGCGGTTATTGCACGTTCCGGCAGACCACCATGGCAGCCAGCTCTATCAAGTTGGTAGCTATGGCTTCTACACACACCACACACACACACAATTGGGAAAAAACAAGTTTTTCGACTTGGTTGCCATCTGCCACACGCAAACCTAGATACAGGGCCTGAGAAACCAGGTGTGCAAGGATGTTGCAACTGCACAATTCCAATCTCTTAGTGAAAAGTGACCGATGCAAATACATATTTCCAATTGTTTACTGACACATCCGTTTCTTGTGCATAGTTCCAATCTTTCACTGAAAATTGACTGATGCAAGTGCAAGTTTCCAATCTGTGAGCGAGACAAATGAATCTCTCTAGTAGAGGTAGTTCCAAACTGCGAGCGAGACAGATGAATCCCTCTAAGGTAGGTAGGCAAGAATAGACTTAATGCTCCTGTTGTAGGATAGGTAAATTAGGCACACTGCATGGTAGTGCTTGGTTTCCTCTTCAAGTATATACATATTTTTTGTACATAAATAAGCTGATGGGTCAACAAGCGCCGCGCTGTAAAATGCTACAACTCAAATACGCTGTTCACTTGTGGTTACGAGTTGCGCAACAATCCCTAACTCGCATCAAATTACAGTATATAATTGGTCCTGAGTCCTGTTTGAAACCGCACACTTGTAAAACACCACAACATTCTGGTAGGATGTTACCAACACAAGAAGGGCCACCTAGGAAACCCACCCGAGTGAACCAGTTATCTATCCGATAACTTGTTGCCCAAGGCACTCAGGGAAAAACTCGTGGAGCAAAACGCATAGGACCTCAAACAAAGTCTCAAGCACAACTGCTGCCGAGTCGACGACGATGACCAAATTGCGTCTTGACAACTCATGGGAGCAATTCTTGTGACCAGCAATTATCTCACCAAGACAGAATGTTGGTCGTAGAAATAGAATGTTAAATAAAATTTCAATCATGGGCAACGTCTGAAGAGGGCTTCTGACAGAAGGTCAGTGGGAAATTCTGAATTGTAACATTCCAACTTGTGTGCCAAGTACCTGTCTTCAATACGGTTTAACTCCGTCAATAAGCTTGAAAGCTCCTCCAAAGAAGAACTCGAACACTTGAATGCCTAGGCAGAATACAAGCAGGGATATGACCTGAGCATCCAGACCGTCGGGAAAGTGCAAACGATCAACTCCGCCTGCCGAACTGGTTCCAGCCTGCAGAAACATCTAGTAACAGCTGATTCCAGCTGATGGAAAACGAACATAGACCGATCAGCCAAATGCAGACATCAGCAGTTACAAAGTCTTCCAAAGTCCACCGAGTACTGGGTGTACAGAGTGTCCAGTCTTCAATGTGTGGCACCTTCGTGGGGCCCAACGTAGGGCTGCACGGGCTTCGTCCATGGCATAGGACTCACCTTAGGACTACTGCTCCTGACGTCTTGAGGAAAGAATGTGGAGAACTAACATCTGACCTACATCTTGAGCTCTTCGACAAATCAAAAGGTCGACTAATACAACTTGTACCTCCCGGCTAGCCCGACTAATTCTTCCAGGCTCTCTTCGACTAACTATTGGATTTCTCTAGCTGGCTTTAGGTTGCAAGCAGGTGTGTACGAGTTCATGGTGTGGTAGCGAGAGCGTGTGCGGAACCTCCCAGTCTCATCGTCAGAGTCTGGTGGCACTGTTTCTGAACCTTTGGGCTATGAACAAGATCAAACATCTAACAAGTCTTTGTTTGACCTAAGGGTTTATCTGCCCCCCAAATCGGAACCTGCATTCTAAAAATGGCTCAGGAAGGCCTCTCCACAATCTGCGTCTAGCGACAAGCATCCGCTCATAGATCTGCCACATTCCGGAAAAAACACATGCCATTCCTCAACTCACATTAATTAAGTTTTGAATTGACACTAGAGCCAAACTGCAGTGTGAGCGATGGCAGAGTGGTAGTTCATTCTCACATATATGCAGTACTGACCTCAAGAAACCTCCGACCAAACCGAACCAATGCCCATGTCGCACGACACACACACAACGACTCCGGTCCAAGCGTCGTTCCTCGAATTTTGCCACGTCCACTGCACCAGCCACAAACTCCTTGGAGCAGTGAGGTTCCTAGACTGGTGGGGTGGAGAATGTCCAACATCCAAATCTTTCATAGTCCAGCGTAGAAACATGTCTCTCCGGAAAACCGCTCCGCAGTCGCTACGTGGCCCCACCGCTAAAGAATGTGGTTCCCAAGATGTACAACTATTGATCTCAATAGGACAGCCGCTGGCATGATGACATCCACCAAGGACCATTCAACAGGGAGAACCCAGCATTCCACAGTGCAAACCAAATCATTTCACTACTGTATAAGTATAAGCTTAGTGCTTCATCGAACCCCCTAAGGTTGATGCGACTACTACTTTTTCCCATAAAACATCACAGGACACGCCACAAATCCTGGAAGAACAACACCTTCCCCCTGCCCTCTTCTGCTTCTTTCTGTTTTTTTTCCCGAGCGTCCGCCAGGGCGTCGGCGGCATCCTCTGCCGCACTGCAAATGCCAAGGAGCTCACAGCGCATGGCGCAGTGGTGTTCGCTCCTGCCAAGCGCTTGGCGCGCGCAGTGGGTCGTGGCTGGAGACTCCAGACTGCAGAGTCTGGAGATTCTGCTACCCCCCCTTACCTCTGTCCCAAAATACCGGGGCTTTTTGCAAGGACTCCTGGTCAGAAAGCTAGATGGACATGGACAAACATGCTTGTTGGTTAGCTTTTAGATGTAAAGACCCAATACATCCCAATACTATTTGGTGTACACACTACTGCACAACATATGTATCTGTATATAATACAGTACTGGAATATGGAGACTAGACGTTGCTGTGAATCTCCCAGACTGAAACCTGGCCTCTACAATTTGCCTCTGCTTCCATGTCGTCCAAGTCCCGATCCCCGTGCTTCCATCACCATGAACTTCAGATACAGTTCATTGTTCGCCCATCTCAACCCTTTGGAGACTGTCTGTGAGCTTCAAAGAGCGCAGTTGTTTCGTTGCCCTTTGCTCCTACTAGCGTTCTTGTTCCTGGTAGTACGACCAGGAGCCCCTAGTAGCGTTCTTGCTCCTAGTAGCGATGCCCTTTGCTCCTAGTTTAGCCATGCTTAGCCAATTGCATCTAATCGTGGCTTGCAACTTGCAGCCATTCCCATGAGCCTCACACTCCCTCGCTCCCGGAGTGCGACGGGCAAGGATGTCCGGCATACTGGATGTTGAAGGGTGCTCCTGCTTGGAGTCTCCGTGGATGTTTCACAGCGGGATATTCTCTCCATGTATGTCCATAGTAGCAACTGACGCTGTATTTGGACTATGACTTTTCCTGAAGAAATGCACAGCAAGGGCCATATATTCCAGTGGCATGTCCTCAAAATGTCAAAGACCAACAGCCTGAGTTCACAAGCTAATTACTTTCCAGGCGAACACAACTCTTTCATACATACGAAGTGTGTCTACCACCTTCGTCGCCTTTGCTGTCAATTCCCTCTCACGTCGCGTGGCGCCGCGTCTCGTCCTCCAGCTCCTCCCCGGCCCCATGACTCCGTGATGGCGTCCCTGGCGCGACTGCATTTGAAATGGAAGAGAGCGGATCCATGAGGAAACATTCTGCTCGACTAGGCGAAACGTCAGAGATCCCGTTTTTGAGCGACTCTTCGGTCTGGAATTCCTTCAAACCATCCTCACCATCCAACATACTCAACTGAAGCAAACAAAGATTGAGCGAAAAGCAAATCCGAGAGTTTGATCATCACATACACACGCTGGTGCAGGGAGTTCAGTGGAATCAATCCACAGTGCGTGCGTTCCTTCTTCAGATCTATTGCCTCCTCTTTATTAATGCGAATGGATCATGGAAGCCTTGAAAGCCTTGGGCCATCTCAGCTTTCAAAACTCATTGAATGACTGAAATACGACCATCTGTTTAATGACTTGTTCACATTGGTGGACTCATGACTCAGCTACTGTCATCTAAGCATGTCCCAACGCCGCAGCCTCAAGGCCGTGACCACCTGGTGTGTGCAGCAACGGTCTCCTAATTCTGTGGGTCCCTGGGATAAGACAAGTCTTGGTGACATGGAAGACTTGAGCACATTCAAGACGCTTGCAAGGCTTATCCAAATTCTGCACCGAAACCCATTTGGATCCATTTGGGATGATAAGCAAAGCAGGCACAGGCGAAAAAACCAACACATTCTCTGCCTACTACTACATGACGGAGTTTTTGCGATTTGACACTATTGGAGGTATTGTGGTTTTCTTCCAATGCCCAAAACATGAGACTACAGGGCCGTGATATCGGTCCAAGGTCTAGACAAGAAACTGAATAGAGAAACCAAAGTACCTAAACACAGCTATCCACATCCATCATCAACATAAGAACAATACTCATCACCATCGTCATAATCAATCATGATTGGTAAAACACACACACATATATATATATATAATTAACGTAACACTGACTAAACAATCGTTTGTTTCCTATCCCTAGTTGATGCGATGGACAACACAATCAACACATCCCCGTGTGCCTCCAAGGTCGAAGTCGTGTGAAGTCCAACGGCCACGACGTTGGATGGCCACGAGGCCTCCAAAGGCGGTGCTGGAGGAAGCAATGCCCGCTCCTCGCTACGGTCGAGACGACAGTCGAGAGGTCTCGAGACGTCTCGACCCGATGTGAAGCTCCCGGTGGCTCCGGTGAGTCATGTTGATCCACTCTGGTGAGTGGAACTTGCTGGAGGATGCGATGAACTTGCTTCATTTCCAACATCATGACAAAGAATGACAAACCACTTCTGCAGGATGCGATCAAGGCTCACCCACAGGGTTGATTTGGGTAGAAACATATGGTGAACATTGGTGAACTGTGATACTCCGGATGAGTCCAGGGCCAATCACTTCATGAAACGACCTCATCTTCCCGTGCCCAAAATGGGTGTGTTTTTCACACTGCCGGGATGCTTGCATGTGGTGTAAGGGATGCTTGTGGATCTTGTGGATGGTATGGGTATGCCCTAAGTCGAACACCCCACCCTCCGATCATTGAGGCACCCTTAAAACAAACACACACTTGGAAGTGGCTTCATGCATCTTCATGCAACTTCGATACTTGCATTTGCTTGGGAATTCAACGCATTTTAGGAGAATGCGAAAGGAACCAAGTGTGACTCGTCTTCTTGGACTCGACAGTATGACTGACCGCTAACCCGCTAACTGACATTATCTTGTCTTCTTGACTGATCTTTCCCCTTGTTTCAATAGACTGATCAGCTCCTTGCCCGAGCCAAGTGTACTTTTGGTGCCTCCATATCCGGCCGGCTGCAGCCCAGGCGGAGCCAGCAGGGCATCTCAAAACGAAGGTTTCGCACCTGCCATTGTCAGGAGGTTGGCTTTGTCAAGCAGGTCTAAGTTAGAGAAGTTCTGGGAGTGTTCAACATGCGACAAACACATTGTCATCTCACGTCATCTGATCTGATGTGATCTTATGTCCTTCTTGCATTCGTTTGACAACTGACTACTGGATTCCTATGCTTTCATCATCTCCTCACCAAATGAATTCCAGAACCCTTTCAATATCTTCCAATAATGTCATATCAATCTAATTCCATCTTCTTTTCTTTATGATCCCAACACCTTTCCAAGTTCCGAGTTTGAAACCTGTTGGAAGTCCTCGAGCTCCAGCAAGGCCACCACGTCCAGCGAGCGCACCGGCCACCACGAGGATTCCAGGAAGTCGTTCACCTCACAACCCGCGACGGTCTCAGACCGGTCCCGGTTGTGGGGCTGGCAACAAGCAAAAGGTCGCCATTTACTGCGTGAAGTGTCCTCAAGTCTCAAATAGTCTCACGGATTCCCAAAAGACTGGAGATGCCATGAACACGCCGAAACGCCATGGACATGCGATAGACAAAAAGAAGTCATTCCAATGGATGAACCACTGAAACCACTGCTTCAAAGACATGGAGAGTTTCCTACTCCAAGAAAAGGTGAGAAGAGTGTTGTTCAGGCACACCCTAGAACCCCGATGAAATCTCCCTGACGAAACCTCCCGCGCCTGCTTTTTCGCCAGGATCATCCTCAAAGAAGGATCAGGATATGTCAGGATCATTTGTGTTGTATCATGTTGTATTTAGTTTTGATGTGTTTTGATGATGGTATCATATTTGGTGTCTCTTGCCAATGGTATTTTTCAAGGTCTCCCATCGAACTGAACGGTGAACAACACATCACGCTCTTGTAACAGCTCAACCATACTTCACGGCTAAAACCCAACCCGTGTTTTCAGGAACAAAGTTGGCAACAGCCCCCGACTACACCCCATGCACTCCCATCAAGCATCCAGGAGAAGCCAACTCAATGGATGAGAAACGCGTACGATACAATCATACATAGCCACATAGCTGAAACAACATCTACGATCTTCCAGATTCACATGACATGACCACACCAATCAAACCAGCTGAAAGCGCCTGAAAGCTGAAACCGCCGAAAGCAAACAAACAGACAGATCACAGATCTTCTATCCGAATCATGTCATCAAATCACCGAGTTCTTAATCATGGAGCCCCAGCTTCCGCATGCTTCCACACCAAGCATCAAAGATCGGGCCAAGAGATTCTTCGCTGTCGAGGGGATTGGATCATCTCCCGCACCCCTGGAACATCGGATCTTCGACGGATTTTTTCGTCTGGAAGGAGGGTGGCTGAAAGACAGATTTACAGTATAGCTACCCCGACCCCAATCCTGTGAGGAGGCAAATTGACCCTGGTTTTGTCACCTTGTTTTCTCTTTTTTTTCTCGCTATTGACAAAATAGCCTAGTAGATCCTAGTAGCACATTGCTGGCAAGGCTGCCTCAATCTGTTGCGAACAGCTCCTGTAGTTGGGATGTCTCAGCCTCATCCAAACAACTTCTTGCTGTTAAGTAATGTTGACTTGGTATGACTTGGTCACATTTACTCAGTGAGATTGACTCGGTCTTTGGACATCTGCATCCAGCACATGTGAAATTTGTGTTCTACGACGCAATCCATGGGTTCGTTGTGTCGGACTGGTTTGCTGAGAACTGACAGGCATACCCTGAGTGATCCACAAACCTCCACGCTTATCCCTCACTTGTCCCTTGATTGGCCGTGCATCCTTCCTTACTGAGAACTTGTTTCTGAAATCAGATGTGCCTTGTACAATCTCGCACAATCCGAACCAACCCAGCTGTTGCATTCTTTTGCTTGTTATGAGTCAGTAAACACATTGTTTGTGCGAAAGCCAGATTCTCACACAACATAGAGTTGCTGAGCAAAGTCTTGTCCATCACGAGGATCTAGGTGGATTTGTGTGGACCACTATCACTAGCACGATTGAAGCTTTGCAAGCGGCTGCTTTCGATACCCAATTTCCCCACCTGGCCAGGTGATAGGCGACCACAGTATAAGCAGTGACCGCTCCAAACAAGCAAAAGCCACCTGGCAAGACCCAGGAAATAGTCTGAAGCAAAACTGGAGATGCCAACTGAATCTAGAATCATTACATAGAAATACATAGAATGATATTGTAGAAATATTGGAAAGCAAGTGCTATAAACCAGCAATTTCTCACCTGGCCCATGTCTGGGCATGTTTTCGGTACCATCGTGCGCTCTTTGCGGGATCCCTGCCTCGCACGCTTTGGAAAGGGAAGGGATTGATTCAGTTTTGGGAGGGGCCGAACCAATTTCTAGGGCGGCAAGGCTTTGACATACATATAAATCAGCTTGCCCTCAAGCAATCAAACATGCAAGTTGAACCTGACAAGTGCAAGAAACCTCATCTTCTAGTGGATCTTCCAATTCCTTTCCTCCCTTTGTAAAGATATAAAGCAATGCCCACTCTTCGGCCACTGCAGCTGTGGTCACCAAGCAATCGTTCATCCACACACCTCCTCCCCACAACCCACCATGGGACCGCACCCAGCTGCTCAGTGGTGAGCTCGCCCCGCAAACGGCTGCTGAAGGCGGAGACCACCTCGGCCCAGTCCACCTCCTGAGATCGGAGACGGGGCCCCTGTTACTACTAGCGTGGCACTTGTTTCTACTAGCTTCTTGTTACTACTAGTAAGGCACTTGTTACTACTAGCGTGGCACTTGTTCCTAGTAGCTTCTTGTTACTAGTAGTAAGGCCATGAGCCCCTAGTAGCGTCCTTGCTCCTAGTAGCGATGCCCTTTGTTGCTAGTAGCTTCTTGTTACTAGTAGCGTCCTTGTTACTACTAGTAAGGCACTTGTTACTAGAAGCGATGCACTTGTTTCTAGTAGCTTCTTGTTTCTAATAGCAATAGCGATGGCCTCCAACCTAAGAGCGGAGAGACTGAAGATTCATCAGTTGGCAGGCTTGATAAGGCAAAACCCTGAAGTCTTCGTCAGCTTTGACCCATTCTTTCTGTGGAGCCACTCGGTTCCTTTGATATCCGTTATATGCACCAGTAGCAGCAGCACCTTTTACGCAATCACCAAGGTATCTGCTTGCCTGCGTCTTCGTCGCCTTTGTCCTCGCCTTCTTGAGTACTTCTTCACTTCTTTCCCCCTGTCTTTCTCTCTCTGCCTTGCCCTTTACTCCACTGCCCTACACAGTAATATCGGGATGTCCCTCTGCAGGTCTAAAGCTCGTCCATTCATGAAAAACTGTCATGACTATGGACTCTAGGCGCATATGAAAGTTCTGTACAGATCTTTATAGTATTATATTTTTGTGGTAGCCTGCATTGCGTGGAATACAATTTCCACATGTGTGGTCCTCAACATGCCTGGGTTGATTCAGACTGGTCAGTCCTCCAGTGTGTCGACCAGGTCCGCAGCCTAGCATCAATGGAGATGAACTCAGCCAAAGCATCCAACGACTAAATGAATGTGAGATGAATCAAACATAATCAAACACTCACATTCTCTCTTCTTTGGTCAATTCAAATTCTCTTTGAACTCCTGAATCTCTCGACTTCTTGGGACTTTAGAGTTCTTCCGATGCTTTCGAGGGTTCACAGAAACTCCAGCAGCTCCGTTCCAGCCTCGTTCAGCTGTGCCTCCGACAGCGGCGTCTCCGGCGTCACGGATGCCGGGAGCAGTGCCTACGACTCGACGACTCGACGACCGGACGGAGGAGCGGCTGGCGTGATTTGATCCGTTTGAGAATCCGATGAGATTCCGTTTTAGAACGCCGTGAAACAGCACCAGGGCTCTATAGCTGTGTAGCCGTGTAGCCTCTTTCACTAAAAACTGGTGATTTTTGAAGAGCAGGGCATGGTGTTTCAGTACCGGCAATCCATCGTTGAAGTTTGGAAGAGTGTTGAAGAACTCCTCAGAAGGCCAAAAGTGAAGTCCTCACTTCCAGCAGTTTGAATCGGACATGACTGACGTGTTGGGACTTCCTGCTTCACTGAACTGACTCTACAATGACTTTCAAAGGCCCGCACGAGATGACCTGTAGAGGCTGGTTCAAAAGCAGACTGCACTTCAGAATCCACAAAGTTGTAGGCTAGTTGACTCAGTTGACAGGACTTGTAGCCTCGCTTTGGCCGCTTGTGGATGCGCAAGAAGCACGCGATTCCATGCTTTCCACAGAATTAAACAACTTCCTTCGGATCTTCTGGCGAAGCTTTCTGAGTCTCCTCAGTCCCATTCCGACGCGTCCCCTTTTCGCCTGGAAGGAGCTCCAGCGAGGCTCGAAGTGCTCCCCCGGGCAGTCGAGGAAGTCCAAGGCCTCGAGGGGCCCGGTCAAAGGATCGAGAGATGTGGTGCTGAAAGGATACTAGTAAGGCACTTGTTTCTAGTAGCTTCTTGTTACTACTAGTAAGGCACCTGTGTAGCGATGCACTTGTTCCTAGTAGTAACAAAGTCAAAGGATTGTTGAGTGAAAACATGTTCAAACGACTCAACCAGGGCTTTGATCAAGCTCAGAATTGGAGCCATGACAGTTTGGATGCTTCGAGGGGTTCACTATCACTAGCAAGTTTGGAGGGGACGAACATATGGATTCGTCAGCCGGGCTGGCAGGCCTTCGGTACCACCTTGAGTACATGAATGTGAGCTTGGAATCTCAGAAAGTCAGTGAAGAGGAAAACGCTTGTTTTGGGCCACCGAGGCCTTTTGGAACATGTTGCATCCCTCATTGAAAGGGTTGCTGCGGGTTGGCCTTTATGCCGGTGCACACTCTGCCGACTCCGCCGGGCTCGATCCCTGCCGAATGCAGCCAAAGATGCGAAACATGGGCGGATGATTGTTAAGCATCGCAGGAGGTGCAAGAGCCATGTCATCATATGTCATTCCCCAAGCGCCGTGGGCGCTACCAAAGTTTAAAAGGCTATGGTTTTTGATTGTTTTTGCTTTGGAAGCTGGATAATGAATCAAGCCAACATCCAAATCATCCAATCATCCAATCACACCAGGTGACTTCGATTTCACCACATATCTCGTGTTGGATTGCCGCCCAGCGATTAGATCTTGAGGGCACCTGATGGTGGAGTACAGAGCCTTCCTAACCATCTCTGAAAGAATCGGTGCTGCGTTGTAAGCATAGACTATAACTACTCCGAATGTATTCTGTTTTGCCGGCCCAAGTGACTGTCGGCGACAGTGCGAACAAACCGAGCCAGAATCCAGCGAAAGCTGAAAGCCTTTCAGAAAACACACTTTCCAAACATTTCAGACAAAGCCCTCCGGGATACTTATAACTTATGACCAGATCAATTGCATGTAGTTTTGCCTTCCATCTTCTTGTAGGCCTTCTGCCACCTCAGCTGCTGGTTCCTCGCTGTGCCAAAGCTCCCTAATTGCTGGTATGAACTGCCACCTTAAGACACAATGCCTGGCTGTGATCACTTGATTGCTGAGATGCAAAAGTGGCCTATCGTATCTGAGGTTTCATTGAGGGTCAATTTTTGTTGGTTGTGGGAACAGTCCTCTCTCCTCGATCTTCAACAGCCCAAGACTTCTGACCCAGAGTCCAGTGCCGCAAGTGCCGCCCCTGAATGATTGACAAAGGAGGATCTTTGACTATGGAATTGCTGGTGGTACCCACATCAAAAAGGCAAACCATCAAAACTGGTAAACTGGTAAACACACATTACATTTGGAGGGCTAAACATCGGCTGCCTCACTCTTTCTCGATGTCGGCTCATTCTTCTCTCACCGGCTGTACCGCAAGAAGGAGCTTCCACTCAACCAGGTTTCTGTATACAGTATACATCAGTATACATCCGTAGATGCGTCAGTGCTGCAAGCACGACTTCTGGGGATTCTCCCACTGGTCAACACTCTGGCGTCGCTCAAATCTGATCACCAACAAACTAGATGGTAAAAGCTTGCCCTTCGCTTCAGCAAGTGGCCAGAAGGAAACCCTTGCAGGTGATCGACCTCTTCCACTCCCCAAGTGCATCAAACATCCGATGTCAGAATCTCAAGAATGTCATTTTCTTTCTATCTCTTTCTCATGAAGAGCATTGCCAGTCTTTTTCGTGCAAGTTGTCGCAATGTCCCTTGCTCTTGAATTCATCATCGAGCTGAAGATCACAAAGTCCCTGAAGTCAGGCTTTGTCTATCCTTCTCCAAACAAGGAAATTCAGGAAGCAACTGGCCTGTTCCGCACAAAAGAAGGATCCATGGGCATACCGGTATATCCTCCCAAAAGCTTTTAGAAGTGCAGGAAGGCATTCAAACATTCACCACCATTCATTTCATTTTCTCTGAGTTTCTGCTTTGCAAAGCAGGGACGAGGAAGTTGCAAATCATTGCAAATCATTCACCATGGGCTTCCAAGCTTCAAAAGGACAAAACAAATCCAAAAAAAGGCCTTGATAGCCAATCTATAACTATTTTGCTTTCCGTTCGCCAAGCCATGTGATGTCGTTGCTCTGACTTCTGAATCACACTAGTAGACACCAGGAAGGATGAGAAAAGTGTCTGGAACGCCTCCAAAAGGGACCCCCCCTCAACTGAATCTCTTTCCTCTTCCCGACTTAGGTGTGCGTTGAATGATTTTGGACACCTCAGGAGTTCGTCCACCAATTTCTCGTGAATTCTGTAGCCAAACACATCGCTGCCTCCGGGACTCGTGAATCCTCAAGTTTCATCCACCCTGCAATTCTCTTCCAAATCACTGGAGGTATCCAGCAAAATCACGTCGTAACCAGCAACTGCGATGCCGAATGCAGGAAAACTCCTGGCAAAGTTGTGACAAATGTAGGATTAACAGGGGGAAATCCCTGCCACAGGTGCATCTGTGCATCACTTTTTCTGGAACGACTAATCAAATGGAATCACCAACCGACAAAGCTAGAGGTAGTGGCATTTGACATAGTTGGTAAGACCTTGGGGGAGAATGCCCCGCACACCAGGATGTCAATTGAGAGAAATCTCTAGTGTACAAAATGCAATCTATTCGGGGGTGTTGGGTTCATCCTGGCTCATCCTAATTCTCGCACACCCCAGTCCTCAGCCTCAGCTATCCGAATCACGCCGTCTCTTTCGGTCTGGCGTGCGGCAAGGCTATCATTGATTCCAATACTCACCAATGTTTTATGTTGCTTCCAACACACTCACTCTACAAGGTGGGATCTGCCCCCGAAGCATGCGGCCCACGTCTCATATGCTTGCGATTCCAGGCCTCGATCCAAGTCCAAGGTCAACATACGGCCCTGGGCTGCAGAACTTCGGTCTATGAAAATGCTTGGAATTTAGTGCAGAGCGAATCAAACATGGCTTGATTTGATGCAACAGGTGGGTGAAAGCATTGACAGTCCCTGACCCACAACCAATAACAAATACTGCACAAGCATCCTATGGCTACTCATTCCGATATCGCGGCCGGTGCCTCGAAATGACTTGTTCGTCTTGTTTGGTCACCATCTTTTTGCTAGAACCCCACTTAAGTGTGATGATGAGATGGACAAAGTTTCCAAATCCACTTTACACAACTGGAGCCCAACAAGAGCATGTTAGAGATGAGCTGTTCCTATCCACGCCATGTGTCGAGCTAAATGTGGCTTTAACACGTTGTTGGCGCGACGGTACCGCCAATGATTTTGATCCGTTGACCCACCGTCCAGGCTGCCTGAGTGGTGTGCATGTCGTTAAAGACCTGGCAATTCCACTGACGTGGCACTACGAATCCCTTCTGTGCAAACATCCGTTCTGGCAGTTCTGCCAGCTGCACTATCCATAAGACTTGCCGTTTGGAACGAGGCTAAGTACTGAAACACACTCGCAATATCTCGCAAGTAGTTCGGTTTGTGAACGCGCAACAAGATTACAGCGGCGATAGTCATGACTGGGAATGCTAAAAGAAAGGATATGCCTTGCACGCTGTCAGTCAGTCAGTCAGTCAGTCTGTCTGTCAGTCAGTTGTGATCAATGGCAAACAAAGGCAACATAAACTTATAAACAATCCTTTAAGATCAAATAATGCCAATAGAACGATATAGAAGGACTTTTAGGGGAAACAGTTCTCGTCAGTTTTTCCTTCAAAGGCAGCGTTTTGGAGACACCACCAAACAGGTTCTAAAAGTCACAGTTGGAACCACCTTTATGCGCGAATGGACCTGTTCCATCACACCTGGCAAAATCCAGCACGGACGACGTGGTGACCAGCTGCCTGCTTCACAGTGGCCAGCTGCTTCCCAATGCTCACCACCGCGCCCTCCACGTCTGTGACATGCTCTGCGCCCTGCCGGAAATTCTGCTCCAGCGATCCGACCTGCGGGCTCGCATGCAGCCCTGGCTGTTTTCGGGTCAGAGGGTTTCACGTTTCAGGATGTTTAAGTCTATACCTAGAACCCATTTGACCTCTGCTTTGATAGGAAAAGACCATGTTTTGGCTCCAAAACAGGGGTCAATCAGGTTCTAGCTAATTATAGATCGAAAAGTCCATGCTTTCTAAAGCCAAAAACACATGTCTGCTAGGATTGGAGGGTATTTTAATTTGTAGTAGACTCTAGACAGCATCATACCAAAACATACCTAGACCTATACGCCTATACCAATGTAATTCCACCTGCGTTTTTACCAATCTGGATATCGCCACGAACCTCTCCTTGACTCTTGAAGTTACATCATCGCTGCATCTCAAGGTACCAGTGCAAAATCACAAGTGTAGGAAACACCTTTCAGAAAACATCCTCCAAAGGTATTTGCTTTCAACCACGCTCATTGCTTCATTGACTACCTGCCATGCTTTAAAAAAAACAGGTTGCCTGTGCATTGTTTCAAAGCGCCTTTCCCTTCAAGGAGATCACAACATCACCCAAGCGCTGCACGTCCTCGCTGCACACCTTCTCCTTCAATGGATCGACAGCCGAAGCACCAATTGACCCACGGTGATCCCTAAAGAACTCTGTGAGATGAATAGGTTGGGGGTACAATTCTTGAATGAACAGTGGAGATGGTCAAAGCTGATGCGAGAGCCGGTATTCAAGTGCATTCTATTCTCCGAGTCGTTTCCGAATTCAATCTGCATGGTGAAAATTCAGCCAAATAAAGAAGCCACCATTCATCCCAATCGCTTCATCAAATAACATTCACCTGCTGTCTTCCCCATGTGTTCCCACCCTGTCCAATCCAGGATCCCATGGATGGATCCGATCCCCACCTGCAGGTTGTGCTCCACCGTGGCGACCTGGCCCTTCAATGTGGTCAAGGCACCTTCCAATCCCTGGCGATCGGAGTCATCTCTGGCGACTTCGTTTCTGTTACTACACCCAGACAGAGATCCAACATGGAACCTGATGGCATGGACCTGCAAGGAAGACGAGCTTCCTCCACAACCCCAGTGGTTTTCAGGTTTCATCTCAATCTTTGCACACGTACCTTTTTCCCATGTTTCTTGTTCTGTGTTTCAGTCGGAACCAGAAGTCTTTGAAGGTGCCCAAGTGTGATCAACTCTGTGGTCTTGGAATCAGCAAAATATTGGCTTACTTGAAACATAGTAGCTTCTACAAGTGGAGTTGTTATTTTCACAGGATACACAGACTCAGCAACTCCGCAAATCATTGTCGCATCCCTTAGAAGCCTTAGCGTCAAGGTCTCGCCTGCACACAGTCCATGCCTTCCCATACGCCACGCTCGATGTTGCCCACCTGCCAGCAGTTCTGTTGCAATGAGGGCTTAGCCCCAAAGCTAACAAGAAGCCTAAGCTTGACCATCAGCTTCCAGAAACAGGTGGATCCCCTGCGGCCCTTCTATATAGCCTCCAACACAGGCTCACAGGCCACCTAGTTCCAAGAGTGTACCTTCTGTGACACCTATCAAATGTGAGGCAAACCCTCAAAAACTTGCCTTCTGTATTTGCACTTCTACATGTTTCCAAACCCATCAGAACCCTCCCAGTGCTGTCTAAGGGCAGCCCAAGACAGGGTACTGTACCTGCCATCAACATCCATTGACCACTCTGCAAAGGGATCCTCAATCATCTGACATCCTTGGTCTGAACCAAACAACAAGTTTGCGACTTCGCTCATTCGGATGCTTCCCAAAGGGCCTTCTTTTGGATCACCTGGACCGCATCATTCAGCTGATTCACCTGCCCCTCAGATGAAAAAGGCATGGCACGGCTCCAATCTGATCCATGGATCCATGATGGGGACATGCATCAGTGATGGTACTACATGTGAAGTCATAAAAAGACATCCAACAAACTCAAACAGGTCAAGCCCCATGAATTCATGGGTTTAGCTAAGACATTCAGCTGTGAAGTAGGCCCGTAGGCACTTTTAACCTCTAAGAGACTCTAAGAGTGGTTCTTTGGAGCCGTGGCCTCAGGAGTGTGTATGCAGCTTTGAGTCTTCGCCAACTGGGCAGCCCAAGCAGCATCCACCTTCTCTTGCAAGGCCTCCAACCGGCCCCGTTTCCCCGAGGAAAAATACGCCCAGCCCGAAGCCCGAAGCCCACCCCCCTGAATCCCTGGTTGGGGCAAGCTCAAATGCCTTCAAGTCCCAAGAATTGTTCACTTGAAGATTCATTTACTCGCGAACAGCAGAAGACCAGTTTCTGACATAAAACATGTTCCTTTTCTTTATATTGCTTTATGTTTCAATCATATCTTAGGCTGTTTCTGAATGTTCAACCACAGTCTGACTGGGTCCAAATAGCTGACAACCCACCTGTTCGCAGTTCGTCAGTTTGCCTTCCAGGGCAGCCAGTACTGCCTTGAGCCTCAGCAGGAAAGGCGGACCTACTGAACCCCCAATCCATGAAACTAGCTAATTTGTGAAGGGGTGAGGTCCGGTGAGGTGTTGGTTGATGATCTATTATGGACTATGATGGAATAAATATGGATAAACTGCCATGTTCATTGCAAGAACGGGTCGTGGTCCTAGGGGTCTTCTTTTTCACAATCCACAGCTGCTTGATTCCTTCCTGCCTTCTGCATCATGTGGCTCCTGGCTAAAGTTAATCTTCTTCAGATAGGAGGACACCCCGCCCTTCTCCCTTGACAATTTCAAAGTGAAGTGATATATATATATATATGAAAGTAGTCGATCACTTCAGATTCACCAAGTCCTATAGGTTACCCTTCGACCCCGAAATCCCATGGCAAGTCCGTGACTCCCTGAGAGTCTGGCCCTTGCAGTTGTGCTGCCGGGGCCTTTTCCCGGAGCTGTTGCTCGTAACTGGTGAGCTGCGCCTGGTTGGTACACGATACGCAACGATACACATTGTTTTAGGTATGCTTTGGTGAATCACCTCGACTCGAGCCCGAAGCGCAAACAAAATCTTTTGCACGCAATCTGCGCTTCCGAACCCTGCTGCCTGAGTCTGAGTCACAGTGGTCTTCACCTGCTGCATCTGTTCAGCTCCCACCTGGTGGTCAGAACCGAGTGCGGTCGCTCCATGTGATCTGGGACATCCTTGGGAGGCCTTGCCATGTGCCTGGAAATTGTCAGAAGAACGTCCAAAACCTTCTAGGAGCGAGGACGCTACAGTAGCTCCTGGCATTACTACTGGGAACAAGAAACTACTACTAGGAGCAAGGACGTTACTGTACTAGTAGCTCCCGGAAGAAAGGACATGAGCAGGTTGGGCGACGTATGCTCTGTGATGTGAGGAACGGGCTCCTTAAGAACATGTTTGCACGGCGTTCTTGTGTCTCTTTTGGTTTTGAGAGAGGTCTTTGGCTCGGTTTGACTTGGACACCATTCCTTCTGGAATGAACCACAGTGTCCGAGCAACTCCACCAATCAATGCAGTTCTCAGAGCTACTATACAGATGAGACTGACTGACAACTCCCATGTCCAGGGGCGCCTTTAGGTACAACATGGTACAAAAGCCTTGGCCATTTTCCTCATTAACCACTGTCCCGTCGTCTTTGGAGGGGACATCCCTGAAGTTTCTCATCTGTTTGAGCAAGGTTGTTGTCAGTCCTGACAGCTAGCATGGTATTCCCTCCCACTCTGACAGGAGCTCCTAAACATACCCAGAATCTACCTACACATCAGCAAAGAGAGCAACAAAATGTCAAAGCCAAATATCGTTGAGGAGGAACCAAGCACACCTGAATGCAGCTTGGTCTGATCAGGAGAGCAGCAGGGCTTGACCACCAAATCGTGGGTAAGGGATCAACAACAATTAAAAATAGAATCAAACAAGATACTCAACGGGGATCAATAAACAAACAAACAGGACATCAAAAAAACTATATTCTAGCCCAGTGAGGATGGTTGGGGTAGTAGTAGTAGTAGTAGTAGTAGTAGTAGTAGTAGTAGTAGTCGTCGTCGTAGTAGTAGTAGCAGTAGTAGTAGCAGCAGTAGCAGTAGCAGGATTAGGAGACCAAGGGAAGAGGATGGAAGGAGTAGGGGACTAGGAGAGTGTACCTCCTTAGGAGCTCCTTCCTAGTAGGGAGCTATTTCTACTGGTGAGCCATTTTTCGAGTAGGGCTACTCAATGACTGGACGGCTACCATCATTGGGTACCTACTGTCCTCCCAGGGAGCTGCCTCTAGTAGAAAACAATCAAGCCTCTATTTGCGCAAGCAGGGGACCAGGAGACCGAAAGACGAGCGGAGTAGGAGAGCAAGAGACCAGCGGACCAGGAGACAGAAGGACCAGGATACCAGGGGACCAGCGGACCACAGGACCAGGAGACCGGAGGACTAGGGGACCAGTGGACCAAAGGACCAAGGGACCAGAAAAAAAGGACCAGTGGACCAGAGGACCAAGGGACCAAAGGACCTTATTACCAGAGGACCCGCAAACCACAGGGCCAGGAGAGCAGCAGAAGAGGCCTACCAAGGAATATCTATTGTTTTTTCGATTCGCTTTTTATTTTTTTGATTATCTTTTTATTTTGTTTTGATGCTCGTTTTATTATGTTTTTGATACCTATGCCACCAATCGCCTTGTCTTGGATGTTCTGCTCCAAAGAGTTCGCTTGATTCTGAATGCCCATCCTCGATGCAACTTTGGTAGCAAAAAATGTGCTGCACAATAGGTACTCAGTGGAGCCAGCTCATTAAGTGTCACAGGGCATTCAGACCTAACTTGCAGCAATAGAGGTAGATGAGGTTGGCTATACTGTTAGGACTCTGGTGATAAACAACTTTCCACCTCTTTTCGCCGCATCTTCAAGTCTCAATGCATTGCAATTGAAGAAATTGAATGGGTCACTGATGGCAACGCATGGTGAACACATCTCTCTTTTCGGCCGCCAGGTATGTGTGCACAAAGCAATATACTCAAATCCTTGCCAGCTCAAATCTGAGTTCCCCTGGCACAATGCTCTTCAGCTGCTGCATCTGTCCAGCGCCCACCTTGTCATGCACAGCCTGCAGCAATCCAAAGATGGGCAAATCATGTGGACTGCTGATAAATAAAACCACCCCTACCAGAATGCCAGAATGGCTTTACATCTTCATATTGGATTTCTTTAACAGTTAATCCACAATCAACATTGGTAGTAAGGAACACCATGAGACCGTGGAGTCTCAGAGTTCTTTAGAGCTGCGCGGCGCACATGTCATTGCACACCTGAAATGTATCACATGCCAACCATGTAAACAGTGTTTTGTTCCCAAGTTCGTACTGCCGTACTGACGCACAATGAAAAACATCAATATTTTTGATATATATATATGTCTGTATGTGGGCTATCTTCGAACAGACCTGGAGGTTGGAAAGGCCCATGTCTATGATTCATGCTTGTGGAAAGAAGCTAGGTCATCGGATTGCCATCAATCTGCATTGCACTTTGAATTCACAACCAAATTGCACAACATCGCAACCAAACTGAACTCCAATTCTGAACCGGTTCGACCATGTAGACCAAACCTAGACCAAGTTCTACTCGTCTCTCGGGTTCGAGGTGCTTTTTTTTTTTTTTTTCTCACTGGGCTTTACTGGCCTGATCCACACCAGCCACCTTGGTCTCGAGCATTGACATCGTCTGGCAGGATGGCACGGAGGCATAGCTCCAGGAGGGACCAGTCCGACCATCAAATCATGTCAGATGCGAAAAGCCCCTCCTGGGACACCTAGACCTAGAACCTTTAACATGTGTCTAGGTGTCTAGGTCTATCTATTTGAGGTGAGGGCCTTGCTCATCAACAGTATCAATAGGCAGGGGATCTCACAGGTTGCGAAACGCATGTGCGCCCAGCTTTTGAACCATGAAGAGCACGCTCTACTCGTCGCAAGGGGTGCCTCCTATCAAGGGTAAGGGTACCTTCCCTGGGTTCAACAAACATTCACCATCTAGAAATCGAAAGAACCAACTAGAACCTGAAGATCTATTGGACTCTGACCTTCATAAATCTGCCTTTTCTGTCTCCTGTCAAGTGCCTTCGTACTTATGAACAGCACCCCCGACTCTCTGTCTATACTAGTCCAACGGTTTGGATCGAAGACTGCAGGCCCCCTAATTTTGACTCAAAACCCTGTGACCTTGTTGAATCTGAGAAAGGAACATACAAGAACAATTACAGCTATATATTTGGTATCATCTAGTCAACCTGTGGTTCTTAAGTCTTTGGTTTGACGGTTTGACCCACAATTTCTCCCTTCCCTTCCCTTCCCTGAAAGGCCTGTTTGAGCTGCTGAACATTCCCGCTCGAAGCTTTCTCCTGGACCGTGCAGTGTGCACAGGATGCACTCCCAATACATCTCGACCAAATAGCCATGGCAATCAAGGTCTCTTAAAAAAAGTATTATATAGGTGTGTTGGCAGAATTTGCAGTATCGTTCGGACTAGGTGTAGGTTTCATGTGATGACTTTGACAAATGTTTAATACTTGCCCCACCGCACAGTCAACTGTTTACTAAACAAACATGCATAGCACACAAATGCAAACAATATGCGTTTGGCACTCTCATGAGTCCAATACACTTTCCAACTCGTGGACAGTCATTGATCGAAGGCACACACACACACACAAACAGTCCAAACATGATGCAACACATTTTTCCGAACGCCAAGTCCCATCTTTTAAACTTGTGCACAATCATCACAACATCTCCACCTAAGGCCTTCGACCCTTCCCAGTTTTCGCGAGGTTTGCAGACCTTGTGGACCACACCCCCAGCAGCAGCAACACCGATGTTTGGGCAGCAGCTTTCGGGTCCTGTAAGTTCTGCTCCAGCTCTCCGATCTTCCCCTCCAAGTTCGACATCGTAGACTTCACACTCTGAATGGCGCCAGTGCTCACCTCAGAAAACTCCTCCATACTCCTCCATATGGGCATCAAGAGCTGAGTATAAGTCATGAGTCGCGGAGGCAGGGGGCCACTTTGAATCGAAGGACTGCCAGGGGACTTCGAGGGATTCAAGCGACTCAAGGGAGCCCGGTCGCTGCACCCGGCATGCCACGGAGATGTCTAAAGCAAAGATGATCCTTCACCTCAACGACAAACAAAGTGCCTTCAACATATTTCAAAATTGTATACCAACAACACCAAACTAAGAAAAGATTATCCCAAACAATCCCAAACATAGTTCACAAAAGTAGATCTACAAAAAGAACACCCTCACTATCCCTCACTCCTGTTTCCCTGGATGTTGCAGTAGTCACCGCGGCTTAAGTGAGCAATCTGAGCACCCAGCTTTGTCCTGCAGCCCTTGCTGAACCTGTCTCGTTGCTTTGGCCAAGAGCTGAGAAACTTTCAGGGGTGCTACAAAGCAGAATCATTCTTCCATGCATGGCAACAGGCTTTACCTCGAGCCTCACGGTGAAGCCTGTGGTTGTTCATGAAAGGGCTGGTTCCGACGCACTGAGGAAAGCAATCCCTTCCGGAAGGCCAATGGGAGTAGCAGTATTCAAGTAGCTTAGCTATTGCATCATTAAATTAAACCTGACACTTATTTCCTAAGCCCTTCAGCCGTTGTACACTTGTAAACCTTGTCCCCACATTGTCAATCAGGGATGCACCAGCCTTGGAACTGAAACGCATGTCTCAACATGTCTCAACAGTTGCCCACACAAGACTTTTCTGGTGAATCCTTTACTCTCATCATGTTGATCCATTGATCCCCCGTCGGAATGAGGGCCTACCGTCTGCCCATCGGCACACCTGCCTGCGCATATTGCGACTGGAGGGCCACTAAGCCGGTCTCCATCTGCTTCAACGACTTCTCCTCCACCTGCCAGCAACGTGTTCATTTGCCGCAGCTGTTCTGATCCACGGAACTTCCAAAGCTGACCCCTGAGTTACGCTGCTTTGCCTTGTCGTTGCAATCGGCTTGAGCTTCTAAACATTGATGTTCCAATCTTCAGTGCACACCGAGAAGCCTCCTTTGGGGACATCAAAATGATTGGTTGGCATGGCATAATCGCACCCATCAGATTGCTTCAACCTTGACCATCCAACCTACGGTGGGTCCACATCTTGCTACCCTCGTCTGCATTTCTATGAGTGTATTGCATTTGTAGACTTCAGCCACGCAACAAAACATATGTACCAGCCTGTACCAGCTAACCTCCGGCAGAGCTGGGGTGGGATGTGATGCACTGATGTGCGGTGGCATCCTGCAGTGATGTGGTTTTGAGATGCTGTGAGATCTTGTTGCTTGTTGTGCGTCATGCAGTTCTTTGCAATGTGTCGCTTGTGGTGAAGCGGTGCCTGGTGAGTTGTGATGTGGTGAGAGTATGTGAGAGTGTAGTCTGGTGTAGTGTAATTTGGTGTCTACTTTGCAAGTACATTTCTCGAGAAACCTCTATGTTTGATACACTTTCTCTGAAAGTTTCTTGTTCTTTGCTCTTTCTGCGGAAATCATGTTTCTACAACTTTTCTAGACATCTCTACTACCGTCGATACTTCTTCTCTAGACTCCACATATCATTGCTTTTCTAGCTACTGTATCTTCATCTTCAAGCACATCGCACATGGTAAGAGTGGTAAGAATAGAGTCCCCACCTTAAAAACCAACAACTGTTAAGCAAACCATGCCAAACGATTCCAATCTGTTTTCAACGTCTCAGGGGTGCTTCGCCATTCGAGGCTCTGCTGTGTGGATGGTTTCCAAGCCTTGGTGTGAAGAAGATTCTCTGTCTGTGCGACCTTCTTGTGAATCCTTGGTGCAAAGGCCATGTTGCCACATTGGCCACGGCGTGGCTCACAGAAAAAAA